CACAGCATGTAAAAATATAATATAAGCTCTGGCGGACTTGGTTCTATGGTAGGTCTTAAAGGGTTAAAGAGGATATGAATTTACCAGAAGCCTGGCTTGACTTAGTTTACACTTATTTGTTTGACAGTACTGGCAAGTTAAAGAGGAAACTCTTATTGATTTTATTGTGTAACGACAAAAATTAAGCACAGATGAAACCAGTTTTTCCTCCATGTCTTCTCAACATTTCGTCTGCCTTTACAAAAAAGGAAAGCAATGAGACTGCCAGGTTACTTACTCACTATCACCAGTTCACTGTTTTGCTGTTCAGCCCTCACAGCTCCTGACAGTGCTTATATCTGTAAAGGATGCTGTAAACAAGTACGGTCAACTCAGACAGATACTCCACCTCTCTCTGTGATGGGACATTTTAGATAAGCAACATGTAAAGTTTAGTCAGCTGAAAGCTGTGAGGAGCAGTGCAGTCCTGCAATACTTTGGTGTAGGAAATAAGTGGTTGTCTGGCAGCTGTGTCAGAATGAGCTGACATGTAAGAATTTGGCCCAAGCAGATTTGTTCAGACATTAAGCATCATACATCGCAAAAAATCCTCAGTTTAAGAGGAGACACAAATTCATGGGGCTTGTGTGCTCATATTGTCGGTCAAAAGCCCGGATAAATGGGAGTGTTGCGTCAGAAAGGTCATCCAGTGTAAATTCTGTGCCAAACTAAACATGTGGATCCATCTACTGTGGCTGTCCCTTTAGTAAATAAAGAAAGAACCAAATTTCTTTATATTTTAAATATAATTTTAATTTAAAATAAGTCTGGTATCCCCTGCAGGGTGTAGCCTCCCTCACCCTGTGACTGGGATAGGCTCCAGCTTCTTTGTGACCCTGAGTAGGATGAGTGGTTAAGGGAGAGTGAAATAAATGGATAAAATACAGACGTTGGGGAGGTGGGGCGCACAAGGTTATCTGGTAAGGAGCTGGTTCCTGACCAAGCAAGGGCATGAGGGCACCTGTTAGTCTAGCTCAGGGGTGTCAAACTCAAATACACAGTGGGCCAAAATTCAAAACTGGAACAAAGTC